TCCTGCTGAGTCAGCTCTCTCTCATTGACCTAAATTACATCTCCACCATCGTCCCTAAGATGGCTTCCGACTTTCTGTTTGGAAGCAAGTCTATCTCCCTCATGGGGTGTGGGATTCAGAGTTTCTTCTTTTTGACTCTGGGAGGTGCAGAAACACTGCTCCTGACATCCATGGCCTATGACCGCTATGTGGCTATTTGCTGTCCTCTCCATTATCATGTCCGAATGGGCAGAAGAGTGTGTGTGCTGATGGTGACAGGGTCTTGGGTGCTGGGCTCTATAAACTCATGTGCCCACACGACGTATGTACTCTCCATCCCTTATTGCCAGTCCAGGGCCATCAACCATTTCTTCTGTGATATCCCAGCCATGGTGACCCTGGCCTGCATGGACACCAGGGTCTATGAGTACATGGTTTTTCTGAGCACCATCCTTTTCCTTGTGCTCCCTTTCTTTGGTATTGTGTGTTCCTACACTCGAGTCCTCCTTGCTGTGTACCGCATGAGCTCAGCAGAAGGGAGGAGGAAGACCTACTCCACCTGCACTGCCCACCTCACTGTGGTGACTTTCTACTACACACCCTTTGCTTACACTTACCTACGCCCAAGATCCCTCCGATCTCCCACAGAGGACAAGGTTCTGGCTGTCTTCTACACCATCCTCACTCCAATGCTCAACCCCATAGTCTACAGTCTAAGGAATAAGGATGTGATACAGGCCCTGAGAAGAGTGATTCAGAAAATATGCTCTGTGAAAATGTAGCCAAAAACTTTGCCTCAATTCACAGGAAAGAAGAGTAATTCTGTTTAACACTATATAGGAATTAAAAATGTTATCTCATGCCTAGAATACAAGGGCTAAAAATAATCTGGGCAAAAAGAAATGACTTATATCTGCACAAAATTGAAAACAATGCAACAGCTAGAGGTGAGTTAAGAGTATATCATGAGAAAAACAAAATATGGCATTCAGTTATATCTACTCACTTGAGAAAAAGTTACTTTTTTTCTATTGTAGACTAATGGAATATGAATTTACAATAGTAAAATTTTTATGCTGAGTGTTAACTTCTAGTAGATAATATTAGCTTTTATTTCTACACGACAAAAAGCATTCTCACCAACAATATATGAGCAGAAAATAAAGACATTAAGAGTATATTATGAAGATCTATATGCCAAGAAACAAGACAATCTGGATGAAATGGACAAGTTTCTGGACACATATAATCTACCAAGATTGAGCCAAGAGGATATAGAAAGTCTGAATAAGCCCGTAACAAGCCAGGAGACTGAATCAGTAATAAATAAACTTCCAACAAAGAAAAGCCCTGGCCCTGATGGCTTCGTCTCTGAATTCTACAAAACTTTCAAAGAAGAGTTAACCCCACTCTGCTCAAGTTATTTCTAAAGATCCAAAAGGGTGAATCTCTCCCTAATTCACTCTATGAAGCCTCTATCACCCTTATCCTTAAATCAGGTAAGGACAGGACAAGGAAGGAAAACTATAGACCAATATCTCTGATGAATATAGACACAAAGATTCTCAACAAGATACTAGGAAATCATACCCAACGACTTATAAAAAAGATTATACATCATGATCAGGTAGGCTTTATTACAGGAATGCAAGGTTGGTTCAACATACGCAAAACCATAAATGTAAAACACCATATTAACAGGAAGAAAGATAGAAACCGTGCGGTCATATCAATTGATGCAGAAAAAGCATTCGATAAGATACAACATCGCTTCATGATCAAGACTTTCAGCAAAATCAGCATAGACACAATAAAAGCCATCTATGAAAAACCCATAGCGAACATCATCCTGAATGGAGAAGAGCTGAAAGCTTTCCCACTAAAAACGGGTACGAGACAAGGATGCCCACTTTCTCCACTCCTTTTCAGCATAGTACTGGAAGTCCTCGCCAATGCAATCAGAAAAGAGGAAAAACTTAAGGGCATCAAAATAGGAAGAGAAGAGGTGAAACTCTATTCACAGATGACATGATTTTATACATAGAAGACCCAATGGTCTCCATTAAAAATTTTCTGGAAGTAATACATGAACCACACCCCTGCCAGCACTTATCATTTTTTGTTTTTTTAATCTTAGACATTCTGACTGGGGTTAGGTGATATCTCATTGTTGTTTTGATCTTCATTTCTCTTACAATGAGGGATGTTGAGCATTTTTTCATATGCCTTTTAGCTATTCGTATGTCATCTTTAGAGAGTGTTTTTTTCAACTCATTCTCCCATCTTTTAATAGGATTGATTGTTTTTTTCCAGAACAGCTGCTTGAGTTCCTTGTGAATTTTGGTTATTAATCCCTTATCTGATGCATAGTTTACAAAAATATTTTCCCATTCTGAGGGGTGTCTATTCACACTAATCTCTGTGTCTTTTGCCATGCTTAGATGCTGGCAAAACTGGATCTCCACTTGCAGAAAGATTAATCTGAACCTCTACCTCTCACCTCTGACAAAAATCAAGTCAAGGTGGATCAAAGACCTAAATCTAAGACCTCAAATGATAAAACTGCTCCTGGAAAACACCAGGGAAACTCTGGGAGACATTGGGGGAGGGAAAGACTTTTTAAGTAAGACCTCCAAAGCACAGTCGATAATCCCCCAAATAGACAAGTGGGATTACCTCAGACTAAGAAGTTTCTGCATGGCAAAAGACACAGTAATTAGTGTGAATTCACAGCCTTCAGAATGTGAAAATATTTTTGTAAATTATGCATCAGATAAGGGACTGATAACGAGAATACGCAAGGCACTCAAGCAGCTGTTCTGAAAAGAGAAGATCAACCCTATTAAAAGATGGGAGAATGAGTTGAGAAGAACACTCTCTAAAGATGACACACGAATAGCCACGGGCATATGAAAAAATGCTCAACATCCCTCATCGTAAGGGAAATGCAGATCAAAACAGTAATGAGATACCACCTAACCCAAGTTAGAATGACTAAGATTAAAAAAGCAAAAAATGATAAGTGTTTGCAGGGGTGTGGTGAAAGGGGAACTCTCTTACGCTGCTGGTGGAAATGTAAATTAGTCAAGCCACTTTGTAGAACAATCTGCAGATTCCTCAAAAATGTACAAATAGAACTACCATATGATCCAGCAGTCCCACTCCTTGGTATCTACCGAAAGGACAGAAGAATTCTTAATCGGAAAAATGCTTGCACATAAATGTTTATTGCGGCACTATTCACAATTGCTAAGACATGGAACCAACCCAAATGCCCCAGAACAGATGAATGGACTGAAAAATTGTGGCACATATATTCTATGGAATAGTATTCAGCCATAAAAAATAACAAAACTCTGGCTTTTGACAGGATGTAGAAGAACATGGAAGATTTACTGCTGAGTGAAGCAAGCCAGGAAATGAAGGAGAGACATTATATCTCCCCACTTAATATATTCTGAGTGTCCGCACCCTATGACTGAAACTGATTGACTAATGGATATACAAACACAATAGATGGGTGTAAATACAAAGAAAAAAAAGTATTTATAAAATGAACCTGTGTGGGGCTAGGCGGAGGCATATGCACCTTTGTATAAAAAGATAAATACTTTAGTGTTGAAAAGAGTTTAATTTCTTGGTAAATTATGCGTCACTTATTTTTTGTTGTTGTATATTCTAGTTATCTTTCTAGATGGCTATTACATTAAAATTTTAAGAACTCAAAAAAAAGAGAAAAGACACTAGAAATTATTTTTTGAAATGAAGATTTATATATTCACTTGTCTCACATTTCTCGTAACTTGTAGAAGTCCTACTAAAAATTCTGATGTGGATGCATGCTGAAAAATTCTGGTGTATGCATTTATCACTACGCAGCCATTTACAAGGTAAATTAATTTGACATTTTCTATATTGTCAATAATTGGTTCATCTGAAGCTTCATAAGACGAGTACTATTTTCGACCACATAATATCCGTAAGTTTTGTAGTATTGAAAGGATCTAAAATTTTATTTCTATTTCTATTTCTAAGCTTGTGGATATTTGCTTTGCAAATGTGGTAGCTTGTAAAGGCCACACAGATTCTGAACTTACAAATGAATTCTAAGCCCCTGCTATACTTACTGTAGTGACCATGTGCGCACTCTTCACTTCTACTTTGTAGTAATTTACTGAGCAGGGCCAGCAGGTGACCTGGTGGTTAAGGTGCTGGACTCCCACACGGTCAACTGCAATTCAAGTCTCAGACCTGATGACTGAGAAATCACTCTGTAGTGCGTGGACATTCCTCCTGGGACTGATTTCTCACTCTCCCTCCCATTGACTCTGTCTTTACCTGCTTAATGCACACACCCTATGGCAAAATAAAATACAATAACAATAATAATTACTGACCAAGCTTCATGCCTAAGGTCCTGCCTGCCCTGTCCTGGCACTTAGCACAGAGCTGACTCTGGACAGGGAGGACGTCCGCCTCCAGCCATGACACACATGTGACCAGGACCGGCCCCTCCCCGCCTACTCCTTCCCCCGGCAGTGACCTCGTCCACCCCATCTGGGGAGGCTACTCCCGCACCACACAGATCTGTTTCGCGTTCCACCCAGCCCTCCCCAGGTGTGCTGCGGTGCCCTGGCCAGTTCCAAGACCCAAGACATCTGTGCCCACAGTGAGCCTCGGATTTGGGCCCTGCGCAAAGTTCGCTGATCCCTGGCGCATGTGCCGCTGCCCCTCCGGAGCCCGTCGCGCAGGCGGTGGCAAGCTCTTTCCTTGCAGGCTTGGACCTGACACTGTCCACGTGGCGGGGTGGGGCCTGGGACCCTGCTTGGTTCCTGCCAGCTGCCTCAGGCTGAGGCTCCAGGACTTCATCCCCAGGGCGGCGCCGCCAACCTGGTCCTGTCTGAAAGTCTCCCCAGTTTTCCCAGTGGTAAGTCCCGCGCTGCGCCCCGACATGATCGAGGCCCACATACGTGTGGTCTGTGTTCCGGGTCAGGCTGGGTGACCTCCTCGGCCCACACTTCCTCAGCGACACGCCTGTGAGGTAGGAAGGGCTCTGTAGCACCTTGAATCAGTAAGGAGCAAATGGGGGCGAGTTAACTTTTTTTTTGTTTGATTGTCAAAAAAATTTCTCCAGTGTTTTGTCAACAGAGAACGTTTTTTGAGTGTGAAATGCCTCCTCCTTCGCTCCCCTCACCCGCCCACTACGCCCGCTCCCCTTCCTCACAGTCCCGGGTAGGTACCGCAGGTCTTCCACTGTCCATGGCAGGTGAATCACCCCTACGGCCGCCTCCCAGCCTAGGCCGTACTTCTGAGTGAGCGGTTGCATGACTGCTGATGTTCAGAGACCAAAGCATGGTAGAAAGTCCAAAAACACAATCAAAACACAAAACTGACCCTACCGGTCATATTCAAAGCCAGAAGTGTGTGTGTGTGTTATGTGTATATGTATATATAGTGTGTGTGTATGTTTATATGTGTATATATATATATATATAATGTGTGTATATGTGTGGGTGTGTATATATATATTGTGTGCGTATGTGTATATGTATATGTATATATATAGTGTGTATATGTATATATATATAGTGTATGTGTATATGTGTATGTATATAGTGTGTGTGTATATGTATATCTATAGTGTGTGTCTGTGTATATGTGTATAGTGTGTGTGCATGTATATATATATATATATATATAGTGTGTGTGTATATATATAGTGTGTGTATGTGTATATGTGTGTGTATATATATAGTGCATGTGCATGTATATATATAGTGTGTGTGTATATGTATATATATATATAGTGTGTGTGTATGTGTATATGTGTGTGTATATATATAGTGTGTGTATGTATATATAGTGTGTGCATATAAATGTATATATATAGTGTGTGTATGTGTATATGTGTATATATAGTGTGTATGTATACATGTATGTGTATGTGTGTATACATATATAGTGTGTATATGTATATATAGTGTGTGTATGTATATATAGTGTGTATGTATATATAGTGTGTGTGTATGTGTATGTGTATACGTGTGTGTATATATTGTGTGTGTGTGTATATATA